AAGTAGCGAACTCTGAAGAAGATAGGAACAGAGGGGTGGATCTTTACAGTGAGAAACATTCATACAAAAAACTGTCATTACAAATGGGTACCACTGCCAAAAACAGCAAATGGCTTGTAGGTACCATCTTCTCTGATAGAAAAGTTTTTACACAAGTCCACATCTTCGCATGGCCTACACATACTCGATATTTTGATGATTAGCCACATTTTTATTGAAATTCTTTTAAATATTGTTATTTGGAGCTTGTAATGGGAATTACCTCCTATTACAGCAAATAGTATTGCTTGCAGTAGTCGGAAAAGAGGTATTTTTGTTAGAAAATTATGTATACATAAAAGAGTATATAATGAGGGACTTACTGATTCATCAACGCCCAGGCGAAATGCCAAAGGCTGGAATCTTGAAATTTTGACATTGGGTCAATGTTGGTGGGTAGTGGTAAGATAACGATGTGTTTTTTGAAAATTCGGACAATAAGTGAGCTAAAAGTACTAAAAAGCACAAATGTTCTTACCTCTTGGTATTTTGTGAACGTATACAGCCCAAATCTTGACATTTAGTACATAAATTAAGTTTATGAAGTAGTGTTGTCATAACGGTACTAAATTGTACTAAATTCGGTACAATTTGGTTCTGGATGAACGGATTCATCTGGTAATTTAAAATATTAATATTGGGATCTCTGCTAGTGGGTAGGGTTAATATAAGGCGTTGGGTTCGGAAATGCGTTCAGAAATCGTACGAAAGTTACTAAATTTGGATCTGCGTGAATGAATACTGCTTGAAATCTGAAATTTGGTGCTTGGATCACTGCCGAGATTTGGAGGTGTTTATACCCTACAGCACAAGGTGGTCAGGGTATTATGTCTTTGTGCATTTGTTTGTAATAGGCAAAAGGAAACGAGATAGACCCATAGTTCCTTTTGATGATCTGCATAGAATCACTTTCTGAGTTGATTTATGCATGTCAGTCCGTCTGTCCGTCCGTCCGTCTGTCCATGTATTCTTGTGAACAAAATGCAGGTCGCATTTATTATCCGATTCAGATGAAATTTTGCAAACAACATTTGTTTGGCCCAAGGACGAACCCTGTTGAAATTGGAGATAATCGGTAAAAATTTAGATATAGCTCCCATATATATCTTCGTCCGATTTGCCTTTTATTGTGCCCGAATAGTATGGAATTTTGCACATGCAACCAAATTAGGCCTGAAAATAAGTATGTCAAATTTTATCGAAATCGGTTCAGATATAGCTATACCTCCCATATATATTGTTCATCCGATTTGTTATTTTTGTCCTCCGCAGCCGTAATATGCACTCTGTAACAACAATATTTGGGGAAATATATCAAATGCAGCTCAGAAATATGTTTGCTAAATTTTATCGAGATCGGTCCAGATTGGGATATAGCTCCCATATATAACTTCGTCCGATTTACCATTTATTGTGCACCAAACGTCTAATATTTGTCCAAATGGGATGGAATTTGGCACATACGACCGAATTTAGTCTGGAAGGTAGTATACCAAATTTGGTGAAGATCGGTTCAGATATAGTTATAGCTCCCATATATATTGTTCATCCGATTTATTGTATTTGTTACCCACAGCCGTAATATGCACTCCGTAACAACGATATTCAGGGAAATATATCAAATATAGCTCAGAAATATCTTTGCCAAATTTTATCGAGATCGGTTCAGATTTGGATATAGTTCCCATATATATTTCTATCCGATTTCAAATTAATTTCGCACCAAATGGGCAATACAAGTCCGAATTTAAAAGATACAAATGCTTCGGCATATTTAGTCCTTTGAATTTTAAATTATAATTATAATCATAGCGTGTATGATTGAATTCTCCCATAAAAACTTTTAATTATTAAGTGGAGCTCAACTAAAATAGCAAAGTGGTGTAGGGTATCATAAAATCGGCCCCGCCCGACTTTAGGACTTTCTTTACTGGTTTTAGATATACATACTAAAGAACACAAAATGGTACTATATTTGGTATTTGGGTAAGGAACGTCTAAAATTTGGCATTAGGAACATCAATGAAAAAGGTAGAAATCCTGAAATGTTATATCAAGTGCACTGTTGAAAATTAATGCCATAATGGTTCGACAAGTACTAAATGCTACAAAAGTGGGCCTTCATTGAATGTATAGAGCTGGAATCCCGAAATATGATATTGAGGTCTCTGTTGGAATATCATGTTGAGATCTTGTGGTGGTCTTGCAAATGCGTACAATATATTTTTTCAAAAGTTATTTTTTTTAATGCGGGTCCATTGTGCAATGGTTTTACTACTTTATAAAAAGGCTTTTTGGTGTAAAAGGCAAACACTTTCCTATTATTCGTATCGAAAAAGAAGAAACTTGAATAATATTTAAAACCCTGAAAGTCTGAAAATTTACTACGTTGTTGAAGTTTTGATTGTGTATTTTTAGTACCAAAATTTTAATGTGAACCTTTCGCTGACGAAGTAGGGGGCACTTACTTGTCTACTATGTTTTATATATATATTTTATGCTGACTTCGATTAATATTTCGAGTCGGAATAACAAATTGAATATATATTAAGATGGAAATGCATTTATTTCTACAAGTTTTCTTTATTCCTAAAACAAGACTTAAATGACAAAATATGAATGCTTTTGTCCATGTATTTGAGATTTGTTTTCAAAACTTCATGAACTAAAATTAAAACAAGAAAAATTGAATAAAATAAATTTCGAAAAGCAGATTGCGATAGTAGCTATTGCAATCAAAAACTAACTGAAAACAAACAAAGAGATTAACTCCAGTAGAGTTTTGTTGCTGGTTTCTTGCACAAAATCCATCCAGAGCAAAAATCCCGAAAATAGCTGCTGTAAACTGAAATTAATTTCATAGGCAAACAAAAATATGGCCAACGGGAACCAATCATTTGCAATATAATAAACAAACTAACTTACTAATTATGGGAACAATTTTTGCCAAAAACAGAAGTTAGCTGTTTACAATTGCGCCATAATTTTAGGACAGCTTACAGTGGTGGTGCAAAAACGGAAAAGGTAAAGTAAAGTGTTGGCAGTATAAATTCAGCCGAAAATGCTATGAGTTATCATACATTTCTACGCAAATTCGAGTATGAAAGGTAGCGCATTTCTTGTTTTTCTCTCTCCATGATAAGATGGTAGGCATAAATTTAAAATTAAAACCCTAAACCATAGTATATTAAAAATTGAACTTGTAATATTAAAAATACAGTTTTGAAATATTTGTTTAATAAGAGCTTTTTTAATAGCTCCTAACTTGGCTTATCTTTCCGTAGTTTTTGGACTAATGCACTAATGATATTAAGCCAAGAAGCTTTGAGTTTTGAATTAATATCTATTCACGAAAACGGACCATAATGTCGATTTTTTTTTCATTTAACAATATTGTTGATATAAATCATTTGCTGCACAATAAACGTGAAATTGGAGAAAGACAGATATAGATTCAAATCTAAATTCATCTATACAATGAATACTAAATTGTGTACCATTTTGTATTACCTTTTGTACTCTTGTAGGACATTTCAAAAAAAAAAAACAAGTTAAAAAGCAGTAAGTTCGGACGGGCCGCACTTTGAGTACCCTCCACCATTTGAAAAAAAAAATGGAAATTTTCAAAAAATAAAATCCTTAAAAAATTGTGTTAAAATTTTAAAAATACCGAATATAGCCGTTATATTGGGGTCTATACGACGTACATAGGCATTGTTTGTCATAAGCCATTACTATATTCAAAATCGAAACTTGAAATAATGTAGCTAAAGTCATCAAAATATCGTATATAGGGAGGTACCGTTATATCGGAGCTGTGCGAAGACCTGGACCAGCTTAGACAATTTTCTGTAACTGGCTGGAGCATCCATTACGAACTTCAAGTACGACATCTCAAACAATTTCGGTGGGTATTGTACCTAAAATCGTCAAAATACCGAATATAGGGAGGTACTGATACATGTGGCCTATACAAAGACCCGGACCTGCATAGACAATTTTCTGTCATAGGCTATAGTATCTGTTCATAAAATTGCTATAATTTTGCCCAACACTGTTGGTTGGGCATTTACCGGCGGCCGCATAAATGGCATCATAACAAAACAAAATGATGTAAATAATGTAAATACATACACATACACACATACATTTATGCAGCCACCGGTAAATTCCAATGCTGAATTCTAATAACTAAGCATCGTCAACAGCCAAAACAGGTTTGATGTGACGATGCAAATTTGGCAATAATCAGTTCTCATCGAATTCTAAGCGCGAACGCAAGTTTCCCCCCGAGTGAAGTTGCAAAACTTACAAACTAATTAATTTAAGTAAAAAATTTGAAACTTGTGAATTTAAATTTAGAAACTAGTGTGTTAAAACTTAAAGTATATAAAAATAAACAAACTAAATAAAACTTATGAACTATTTAAAACCTAAAATAAATTATAAAAACCTAAAATCTAATGTTACATCTAAATTGCACGTACCCCCTAAAAAAAATATAAATAATAATAAATAAAAACACGAAGAAAAAAAAAAACAAAATACTTTCTTATAATTTAAAAAGGCTCAAAGGCAAAAAGGTAAGCCTAAAAACATTTGGTCCTCCAGAGCCGGATCAAAAAGTGAAGTTTTTTAAATTATTAAAAACGGAAAAAAAACTTGTGAGTGGACGGACAAAAGAACAGTGAGAAAAAAGAACAGTGAAAAAAAAAGAACAGTGAAATAGGAAAAAAATAACAGTGGGTGTAAAAAATAAGTGCAAAGAAAAAAATTAAATTTAAAAAAAAGAAGAAAATTGAGAAAAAAATAAATAATTAATAAAAAATAGACTTTGCACAGTGCAACAAAAGTGAAGCTACACAGTGCTACAAAAAATAAAATTTTTAAAATTGTAGAAAAATTAATTTTTTCTTCAATTTTAAAAAATATACAATTTACAAAAAAAATTACAACAAAAGTGACATTAAATTTTTTTTTAAAGAGACTATACACAGTGATACACGAAAGACAATATACAGTGACACAAAAAACAACCACAACAAGGAGAATTTTGGAGCCAGCAGTAGGACGGACACACGCAGCACAACAACAACAACAACAACCGAGACCCAAAACCCAAGATCAAAGTGAGTACTCGTGAAATTTTCTTTTTTGACACAAAAGGGCATTTCGGGAGCAGGCAAATCTTCAATATTTGCATTGACCCGCATATTCCCATATTTGGCAAGATAACTTTGACACATATTCAAAGCTGCTAGTTGCCCACTCTGACACAGTGAACGAAATTTTCCATTTGGAGCCATTTTTGTGGACGGACATTTGGCTATTGACCCGGGAAAAAAGCAGACAGACACATATTTTTTTTTCAAAAATAGCGGGAATTTTCAGCCATATACAAATATACATATATACTAAAAATTTTGGAATTTTCTGAACGTGGAGTTCAGGCGAATACATAAGCGCCATATTGACACAAATACATAAGCTTTTAATTTTGGAAAATTGGCGTCACTAAACTTGGCAAACATATAAACGCCATATTGCAAAAACTATATACATTTTTTTGGAAAAAAAGCGTCACTTGCAATATATAGTCGCCATATTTTTTGGAAAAATTTGGCGTCACCCGAATACATAAACGAGTAAATAAAACCCGTTTAAAAAATAGCGTCTGGTGGACAGACGAAAAATAACCTAATTTTTTTTGAAATTGTTGATAAAAAATTTGGAAATCAAGCAAGCGTCTGGTGGACAGACATAAATGTGATACAAAACATAAAATTTTTTTGAATTTTTTGGAGAAACTTAAACTACAAATTTATTTGAAATCTTGGAGAACAAATTATATATCGGAGTCTGGTGGACAGACATAAAATCGATCCCATATATTTACAATTTTTTATTTTTATTCTAATTTTAACCTTTTTTCCCATTTAGCACAATATTTATTGCTCTAAGGAACTTAAAAATTTTTCTGTGACCCAAAATTAATTTCTTGCATTTTTCGCAGAAATATTTTGCTGGTATACTTTTTTGATTTTGTGACACATTACACGACAACTTTTTGGGAAAAATTTCTTCCTTGGATTTTCTTTTTTTTTTTTGCAATTTCTTGAATTTTTTGCAATTTCTGAAATTTATGCTGAAAATATTTGGATTTTGACCCAAATTATTTTCTTTTGAAATATGTTACTGGGACATAAAATTTTCCGCTGAAATATTTGGACCTTGACCCAAACCAAATTTTTTGGAAATTTTTGCTCAAATTTTTGGAAATTTGACCCAAATTATTTGTTTGAAATATTTCTGCTGAAATATTTGGGGTATACATACATAATTTTCTCTAATTCTCGTTGCGAATTTTATCGAAAAATTTGGCGAATTTAGAAAATTTGTTGAATCAGACAAATTTTCACAAGCAATAATCAAAGTTATTGGCTTTTTAAAAATAAAATCCTCCTGTCATAGGATATTAAGTGATTTTAACAAAAAATTTAAATTTTTTTTGACAACCCAACACACATTTTTACTTCGTTGAAATTTTATTGGACTCTCTGAATTTTTTGGGAATTTTCAACTTCTCGTGGACAATCAAATTAGACTCTCGTTTTTTTTTTTTTTTTTTTGAAGAAATTGTTTACTGCGCAAAACATCTCTGGTAATTTCTGCTTTGCAATTCTCGTTTAAACACTTTTGTTTTAAAAACTTTTGATTATTTGTCGAATTGCAAAAATAAAATCCTCCTGTAAGTGGACTTTAAGAGATTTTATTTTCCTTTTTGCTCATTTTGGCGAAATTTTGACCCTTCTGGCAACCCAGCAAACATTTTTAATCAAATCAGTCCGGCGTCTAATACAAAGGAAATTTTTTGAAAATTTTCAAAAATTTTGATATTTTTGAAGGAAACGAAATATAATTTGACTCAAACCAATAAGATAAGATCGTTTTCGTCGACAAAAATTGGAGAAAGAAACTTATCCTCATTTTAGAAATAAAAATTTGGATAAAAGTTTAAATTCTAAACCAAGTTAGTCCTTTTCGTTGGGCAACTTTTCTTTTTTGTAAACCAACAAAATTTCGTAAAGGTTAACGCTCAGTTTTCAAAATGGATAAAACGTTAAGCGATAAATTCACAAATTGCGTCAACGATCTTCTGGATTATATTTCAATTTTTTCAATAACCAAACCTGATGACACGGTACATACTTTGGAAACAACACGAATGGAGTTGGACTCTGCATGGGACCAGGTCAAGAGAGCCTACATAGACTGTCGGGATTATGTTCCAGAAGAGGAAGGAAAGCCGATTGATAAAAATAAACTGAGGAAGCACTATATGGATACCATGGGATCGTACAAAAAAGCGCTGAGTTCAATAAATGGACAAATTCAAAATCTTTTGGATGAAAAGACACAGGAAAAACTGAAAAGAGAGTCAGAGATGTCACAACAAGGAAGGGAAGTGGATTTTACTAATGTATCGCGGCTACCTCCATGCGATACAGACACATTTAAAGGTGGTTATAGAGAATGGCCAACTTTCAGAGATCTATTTTCGGCAATTTACATAAACAACTCAAAATTAAGCAATGTCGAAAAATTATTCCATTTAACGCAAAAGACAGCAGGAGAAGCTAGAGAAATTATTTCACATGTCCCGCTAACTAATGATGGATTTACATTAGCATGGAAAAATCTCACAGATCGTTACGAAAATAAACGAATGCAAATTAATGAAGAAATCAAGACACTTTTTAATCTACCTGGAGTTTCTACTGAATCAAGTCACACTATACAAAAACTACAACGCACTGTTAATAGCAGCATTCAGACACTGGGGATGCTTGATGTCGATGTTAAAGGATGGGATCCGATTTTAATATACATTTGTTCAACAAAATTACCTAGAGGCTTTTTAGAAGAATTCGAGAACTCATTAAGCGATTGTAAACAAATTCCAAAATGGGAACAGTTTGACGCTTTCTTAACAAACAAATTCAAAACTTTGGAATCAGTTGGAAATATAAAGCCCTCTACATCGAAATTTGCTCAACAAAAACCAAATAGCAATCACACGCCTAGATTTTTAAAAACATTTCAAACAAATGTCTCAAAAAATACAAACAACTTTGGAGGAAGACCTACTAATGTAATATTACCTCAACAAAATAAGCCGAAAGTTACTCAAACTTGTCAAGTCTGCAAATCAAATCATTTCATAAGAGATTGCAGCGAATTTTTGAAAAAGAGTGTGAATGACAGAATTCACATCGTGAAAACATCACACTTATGCTACAATTGCTTGTCATCAAATCACGGAGTAAAGGATTGCAAAAGTCGCTTTGGCTGCCGTATTTGTACTATGAAACACAACACTTTGTTACACAAGGGAACGGAAAACCAAACAACTAACTCATACCTAGCTCGAGTGGAAGCACGACCTAGTACTAGTGCTGCCGCTCTTACAAATCAAATACAGTCCACTACAAACCTAGAACCAACTACTATTACTACTTTGACCCTCCAAGATAAGCAAATTTGTGAGCGACAATCTGGAGGAACACTACTCTTCACAGCAATAGTACAAATTGAAACCAAAGGACAACTTTACGATGCCCGAGCTCTAATAGACTCAGGATCACAATCCACCTTTATTTCGGAAAAGATGAAAAACTTTTTGAAGTTACCTACACGGAATAACTTAGTTCATGTCACTGGCTTAAGTCAATTTGTTTCTGAGACTTCAACGAAATCTTGCTTGTTCACTATGAGATCCAAATACGATCCTAGCTTTAAACTGGAAGTCTGGGCTCCAGTTTTAAAGAACTTACCTTCAAATCTACCACCACAAAACTTAGATGAATCACAACTTCGAGATGTAACAGCATTAGAACTGGCTGACCCGAAATTTTACGTTAGTCAACCAATCGATTTACTTATTGGAATGGACATAGGACCATTAATATTCACAATTGGAACTCCAATGAAAACATTTGGATTAATTTTAACACAAAAAACCAAATTTGGATGGATAGTTGGAGGACCCATACCAGGAAGCATCCTTCAACGAAAACAAATATCACTTCTAAATACAACTTCAATAGAGAAAGTACTTACACGTTTTTGGGAGGTGGAAGAGACCCCTAAAAAAGTTTTACGGTCAGAAGAAGACCAATTTTGTGAACAAAACTACACTGAAACAACAATACGAAACAAGGATGGAAGATATGTGGTGACCCTAGCTCAATTCTACAGAATGGGGAAAAAACTTATGAAAACGCCAGAGATCAAAGAACAATATGATGCCTCAATACTTGAATACTTAGAACTTGGTCATATGAGGAAAATCAATCCGAAGGAAATAGATAAAATGCCAAATTATTATCTACCACATCACGCTGTGATAAAACCAGATCGACTCACAACGAAGTTAAGAGTCGTATTTAACGCTTCTTGTCCTTCATCAAACAAAACAAGTCTCAATGACATATTGTTTCCGGGACCCATTTTACAACAAGATTTGGTACTACAAATTCTAAAATGGAGATTTTTTAAGTATGCTTTTAACGCCGATATTACAAAGATGTATCGCCAAATACTTTTGGATTCGAATCAAACAAAATATCAAAGAATTCTCTTTAGAAAGTCTCCGGAAAACCCAGTAGAAGATTATGAGCTGCTAACAGTTACATTTGGAGTTAACTGCGCACCATATTTAGCATTGAGAACTCTTCTTAAACTAGCAGAAGATGTAAAAGAATCATACCCTAGAGCTGCAAATATAATTTTGAATAATTTGTATGTTGATGATGTATTAGCTGGCGGTCACACTGAAGATGAATCAATAAAAGCTCGAAAGGAATTAACTGCCGCTTTAGACGCTGCCGGTTTTACACTAATGAAATGGGCATCAAATGATCTCAAAATAATACAAGATATTCCACATGAACATTTGCTACCACTCAATTGGCTAGACATTTCCGAAGATGCTTCAACTAAGACCCTTGGAATTCGATGGAATATCTCAGGCGATTATTTTTCGTTTACACCACCCTCAATGGAAAATAAAAATGTATCTTCAAAACGAGAAGTTTTATCAACGATAGCCAAATTGTTTGACCCATGTGGATGGCTGGCACCGGTAGTCGTCGTAGCTAAGTTAATAATGCAACAAATCTGGCTAGACAAAATTGACTGGGATGATCAATTAAAGCCAATAACACAAATGAACTGGAACAATTTTGTCAAAAATAGCAAAGATATTGAATATCTCAGAGTTCCTCGATGGTTTCAATACACGCTAGATGGTTCTGTAGAGATTCATGGATTTTGTGACGCATCAGAAAGCGCATATGGAGCCACTCTTTATATTCGGGTGGAAAATACTGACCATACCACACATACATTCTTGCTAGCAGCAAAGACTCGTGTCGCTCCAATTAAAAAATTATCAATACCCAGACTCGAGTTATGCGGGGCAGTATTACTATCAAAGTTAGCAAAATCCATTGTAAATAGCCTACAAATATCAAAATATTCGACACAATTTTGGACCGATTCTACCATCGTCTTAGCATGGTTAAAAAAGCGTGTCGCTCCAATTAAAAAATTATCAATACCCAGACTCGAGTTATGCGGGGCAGTATTACTATCAAAGTTAGCAAAATCCATTGTAAATAGCCTACAAATATCAAAATATTCGACACAATTTTGAACCGATTCTACCATCGTCTTAGCATGGTTAAAAAAGCCTCCTTGTCATTGGAGCACATTTGTTGGAAATAGAGTCTCGGAAATTGCTGATAATGTTGGACAAGAAAATTGGAGACATGTTGATTCGGAAAATAACCCAGCTGATATTGCGAGCCGTGGGTGTTCGCCTGCAGAGCTAAAGACTAGTGATCTCTGGTGGCAGGGACCTCAATGGCTCAGAATGCCAAAAGACCGTTGGCCATCATATGAAATCCCAAATGACACAAATTTGGAAGCCAAAACGGCAAAAGTTATGACTCTTTTCGCTGAAAGAGATGACCCTTTAAAAAATTTCTCCTCTTTATCTAAAGTTTATCGATCATACGCATATGCCCTAAGACTCTGGAAAAATACTGGAGCAAATAGGCAACACCTTCGAACCTCATCAAAAGACCTTACATCAGATGAAATCCAAGATGGAAAACGATCGTGTATAATTCGTACCCAAAAATTCGTATATGCAGACGAATACAACGCACTTATGAAAAAGACTCAAATTTCTCCTTCAAGTCCTCTGTTGACACTCAACCCATTTCTAGACTCAAAGGGTATTATTAGAGCAAATGGCCGATTGGTACAATCGCCAGCCCTTACCTATAGCGAACGTCACCCAATAATATTACCACATGGCGCAAAACTTAGCAAATTATTAGTGGAATTCACTCATAATGTTACTTTACACGGGGGTAATCAACTAATGACTCGAGTCAGTCCGAATTCTGGATATTTGGACTCAAGTCGCTTATCAAACAAACCATACGAAAATGTCGAATCTGCTTAATTCACAAAAACAAACCCAAACTCAAATAATGGCTTCGCTACCACCCGAACGCACTTTCCTTTCTCGACCCTTTACAAACACAGGGGTAGATTTTGCAGGACCCTTTAACATTAAAAGTTATTCAGGAAGAGCCTGCTTTATTACAAAAGGCTACGTGTGCCTGTTTGTTTGTTTCGCCACTAAGGCTATACATTTAGAACCCACAAGCGATTTGTCGACATATGCCTTTCTTGCCGCTTTTTCTAGGTTTATTAGTCGGCGAGGTTGTCCGTCTTGTATATTTTCGGACAACGGGACTAACTTTGTGGGAGCGGTTGATCTACTAAAGCGAGATAGATTAGCTTTCATGAAGAATATTCAAAATAGCACAATTCAAAATAATTTCACTCAAAATCTTACTTGGAAATTTATTCCTCCTGGTGCTCCGCACATGGGCGGCTTGTGGGAAGCTGGCGTCAAATCATTTAAAATTCATTTACGAAAAAGTATCCCAAAAATGAATTTCACTTTTGAAGAATTTACAACTATTTTATCAAGAATTGAAGGCTGTCTGAACTCACGACTCTTAAGTCCTGCTAGCGACGACCCAAACGACCTTTCCCCTTTCACACCTGGTCATTTCTTAATATGAACACCTATTCTTACCCCAGCTGAACCAGACATTTCAGATACAGATTTAAGCTTAATCAATCGTTGGAAAAGACTCAAAGTTATTTCACAATACTTTTGCAACAGATGGAAATTAGAATATCTTCAGGAACTTCACAGAAGAACTAAGTGGAAATATGAAAAGGAGAACATCAAAGAAGGAGATTTAGTTGTCGTAAAAGATGATAGATTGGCTCCGCATGAATGGAAGTTAGGTCGTATCGAAAAAACGTATCCAGGTAGTGACCAAAATACCAGGGTTGTAGACATACGGACGGCAAGTGGCAACCTTAGCAGACCCATTACAAAAATTGTCAAATTGTTTTCCGACTGACTAGTCGGATTCCCACTCAAAAAAGAATTTAGTACTCGCCTTAATTTCTTTTCAGATATGGCCGCTTACTTGCCCAACCAGGACTGCCGTCTGGACGATCGCAACCGTAGCCCAGACTCACCTGCCCGTCCAACAGCAAGAAGCGCCAATCGACCCATACGGCCAATCCATCGTCCCAGTTCCACATCCCCTGAAAGACGTCAACGAAGCCGATCCGACGCAAGACCCCGCCAACGCCAAGAAAGACCTAGCTACTGGCAATACTCATGTGGACTATGCCAAGAAGACCATGCCCTCAGTGCCTGTGAGAGGTTCCGCCGGCAGACGCCCTTCCAGCGATATGAGACCGTGGAGCGTCGGGGGTATTGCCGAAATTGCCTGGCGAGAAGTCATTTGGCCCCCGACTGCCCGTCTTTAACTGGTTGCCGGAGATGCAACGACCGGCACCATACCCTATTGCACGGGGCGTCTCAATTGGAGGAGGTATCCCTAAATATAGAAGCCGTCACCACCCCAGCTTTCGAGTGGGACTTAGTATTTGTACCGACGGCTATGGTACGCATAACGGCCGAGGGTATGGAGGGTTTCAGCATGTTGCGGGCCATAGTTAGCCAATCGGCGACGATGTCCCAGATCTCATATGCAGCTTTCCGTCGCCTGGGTCTGCAGTCGCGGAGCTACAAAGGGGAGCGATTCACAACCTTCACAGTTTCGCCCCGCCGCACGAACAGTACTTGGAGTCTGAAGGTAAATGCCGTAATTATCGAAGATCTCCCAAGACGCATTTACTCGGACCCAATACTTGAAGACCCCACTAGATGCTTCACGAGCTACGCCTTAGCTGACCCTGATCCCAGAGGAAATAGTCCGATCGATGTGGAACTGGGAGCGGACACGTACTCCGCCATAAGGAAAGATGGGTGTACAGCAGCTGGAATTGGAGATGTCCTGGCCTACAACACACAACTGGGCTACGTGTTTGCTGGGCCAATCAAGAACATGCCGAGGAACTGAAGACCGAAGATCCTTATGGTATATTAGAAATGAATACTTACACTTGTCATTCGGGGCCCAGAAAATGTTCATAAAATTGCTATAATTTTGCCCAACACTGTTGGTTGGGCATTTACCGGCGGCCGCATAAATGGCATCATAACAAAACAAAATGATGTAAATAATGTAAATACATACACATACACACATACATTAATGCAGCCACCGGTAAATTCCAATGCTGAATTCTAATAACTAAGCATCGTCAACAGCCAAAACAGGTTTGATGTGACGATGCACATTTGGCAATAATCAGTTCTCATCGAATTCTAAGCGCGAACGCAAGTTTCCCCCCGAGTGACAAGTGAAAGTGTCAATACAAAAACACAAAATAACAAGACTAATAACATAATTTTACAAAAAAATAGAAACATAAAACAGTGAATTTACAACATAAAGGGCCAAACACAAAACAAGAATATACAACAAGAAGGTGAAATTGTACAAAGAAATTATTGAATTGCAAAACTTACAAACTAATTAATTTAAGTAAAAAATTTGAAACTTGTGAATTTAAATTTAGAAACTAGTGTGTTAAAACTTAAAGTATACAAAAATAAACAAACTAAATAAAACTTATGAACTATTTAAAACCTAAAATAAATTATAAAAACCTAAAATCTAATGTTACATCTAAATTGCACGTACCCCCTAAAAAAAATATAAATAATGATAAATAAAAACACGAAGAAAAAAAAACAAAATACTTTCTTATAATTTAAAAAGGCTCAAAGGCAAAAAGGTAAGCCTAAAAACAGTATCTTTTTCGAACTTCAAATACTAAATTTTAAAAATAATTCCGTTGAATAATGTCGCTAAAATCATCAAAATGCCGAATATCGGGAGGTACCGTTATATGAAGGCTATACGAAGACGTGGACCTGCACGGAATGACAAAGTTAATATACCCTCCATAGTATGGTGTAGGGTGTAAAAAAATCAGGACTTCATTTCTATAGGTTCACCCAAATCCAATTTTAACCAAATTTAGTACCATTTAGTACACATAAGTACGAATTCCAAAACTACCTACATACCAAAATCCTACACTTCAAGTTTTCCAAACAATCTCCATACCTCAATCATACAATACCATATTAATGTTGTTTTCAAATTTCAGAATTCCAGTTCTATCCGTTCACCATAATTCCAATTTGTACCAAATTTACTAGCATTTATTACACATAAGTACAAATTTCCGTAACTACATATTCCAATCTCAAACTCCACACATAATGCCAATTTAAAATTTCAGGAATCCAGCTCCATCCATTCCTCCAAATTCAAATTGTACCAAATCTAGTAGCGTTTAGTACTTTTCGTATACACGTATATATAATCTAAAAGTACATTCTTACATCGACCCTACTCCTCAAACTTGATTTTCATTCCAAATTTAGCTATAACCGTTCAAATTATACGAAATGGTATCAAATGTAGTTCGTTTTGGTACTTTTCGTACACTTATAGTGCAGAACTCATTCGCGTTCCACAACACACGGTGACTATCTTCCGATTTAACTGTTTGGGTCGTCTAGCACTACGATTTATGACTATATCTATTTAACTACCAAAATCTGATATATGGTACTGTACAACGATCCAAAGCTCCTGTGAAACAACGAGCCAGAAATCGTGCGGAACAGAAATCAATGAGCCAAGGTCCATTTATAAGTTAATTACCGGTCAAACAACTTAATAAGAGCCAGCTAAAAAGTATTCCCAGTTAACGATTCTGCTAGTAGAAGGTCAGATGTCTTGCAGTAGTAAGTCTGTCTCATCGTACCCAAAACCGAACACTATACGTAATAAGCATTACTAAGTGAATGAGAATTATTTGCCTTATGCGATAAACGGCATATTACCGAAAGTTGAATTGTCCGTAACCAACAACCAACGAATACTGAGGTGTTTTGTTGACACTACTCTCATTGCTATCGTCGTTCCTGTTGATACAAATTTTGCTGGATATTGCAATCTATGAAAAAAAATTACAATATATGCTTGGTTGACTTAAAACACTTTAAATGTTGACTTTCCATTATATGGTGACAATGCCCTTTCGTATTCCAAATATCCTAGGAATATTGCAAACAAATTTGCCAAATTTAATTCTTGAAAACTGATAGCTCTATCAGATGGACTGTTAGACGGATGTTGTTAAATCGAGAATTTATGCTGATCATACCCGTGTACTTTATGTGATCATTGACGAATGCTTATATACCTTCTATTTTTTGAAGGTTGGTATAAAAATATATGAAATCTGAAAATTCTTAAAAATATTGAATGAAAAAAGAAATATCGAAAATTTTACAATACAGATTTACAATTGTAAACATTAAAAATCATAACTCAGTACTAACTGTCAGTACCACTCAACTAGAACGATAATAAACGGGTTTGCAATACATTGTTGCATTACAAGCGCATAATAAAGGCATTTCGCACAGCATGGCGATGTACATATATTTCGGTTGGACATAATTTTTGAAATGCAATTAGGACATGGTTGACTGGTTGGTTGGTGGACTGGCTATATTATGACAGCACAAGAGAGGCAATGGTGTTTCTTATGGGGTCCTATAATTCTCTGCGGACAGCACTTTTCACAGACAATATTAGGTTTAATGGCAAAAGACAAACATTTACACACAAACATACAATTGTAAAATTACTTGACACTCCATCGCAAAAAACACTACTATCGACACAGATACACAAGTCACGTTGAGCCAACTCGAACGCAATAGTCATGGCGTTTCTAGCTTAAACTTCCTGTTAACAGAATTTTTTTTTTTTTTTTTTTTTTATTAATATATTTATTAATGCCTTCTATCTTAATTTGATATTTACATTAATTATGAAAATTATCAAAAATTATTTAATTCATCAGGGTTCACCCAGTGGTTTGCCCTTAAAATATTACTGGAGTTCTATGATTCATATATAGTATAATAGTTCTTACAAATTTTAGGTATAATTGGCTAGAGTCATTAAATTAAATCTTGAGGGGCCCTTCTTCTCAATCTTGTGAAAGTTTCAGAGCTTGCCATTAAGTTTGCAGCTAAGGGGTTGGGATGTGATTCTATTCTCAGTTTGTAGTTTTGAAGTTGGTGTACTATTTCTTCTTGCACGGTTTTCATGTTCAGTTCCTCGTGTAATCTTTTATTCGTTACGAAGTATGGCGCTCCGGTAATTTTACGCAATGTTTTTGATTGAAACTGTTGCAGTACTTTGATTGTTGTATTGGAAGCAGTTCCCCATAACTGGATACCGTATGTCCAAATGGGCTTTATGATACATTTGTATATTAGTAGTTTGTTTTCGAGACACAGTTTTGAGTTTGAGCCAATTAGAAAATGCATTTTATGAATTTGCAAGTCAAGGGCTTTTCGCTTTGTTTTTATATGTGTGTGCCATTTAAGTTTATTGTCTAGATATAGACCGAGGTATTTAACTTCTTTCTCCTGAGGTAGTGTTATTTGATTCATTTGTACCGGTGGACATATTCCCTGGTTGAGGGTGAATGTTACATGGTTGGACTTTGTTTCATTTGTTTTTATACGCCAACGCTTAAACCATTTACAAAGTATGATCAGATATTTTTGGAGCAAACTGCTGGCCATGTCAGGATTTTTGTGCACTGCAAGAACAGCAGTGTCATCCGCGAAAGTTCCAATAACAGCAGTGTCAGATTGCGGAAGATCTGATGTAAACAGAAGGTATAATATTGGACCCATAACACTACCTTGAGGAACACCAGCTCTTATACACTCAAGGTTGCTGTTTTCGTCAATCTCGTGTACATAGAAGAATCTGTTTTGTATGTAAGATTTTATAAACAAGTAGAAATTGATGGGAAGAAGTTGTTTTGCTTTGTACAGTAAACCGTCATGCCATACTTTATCAAATGCTTGTGATATGTCTAAAAAGGCCGAAGTGCAATATTGCTTTGATTCGTATGCAGCATTTATTGTTTCGACTAGCCTATGAATCTGCTCAATAGTTCCATGACTTTTTCTGAAACCAAATTGGTGTGGTGGAATAAGTTTGTTTGCCTCAATAATAGGTGTTAATCTTTTAAGAAACAGTGATTCTAAAACCTTGGAGAGAATAGGCAATAAACTGATTGGCCGATAAGATTTAACTTGGTCTGCCGGTTTTCCAGGTTTTTGGATCATAGTAATTTGGGCTACTTTCCATTGAGGGGGAATAAAATTGCGTGTTAAACAAGCGTTGAAAATGTACGTGATAAGGTTAATACCATCTTGTGGAAGTTCTTTAAGAACTTTTGGAGTAATTAGGTCATATCCAGGTGCTTTACCAAGTTTTAAGGACTTTATCGCTTCCGAAACTTCATTTTTCGAGAACTTTTTTATGGGTAAGTCGAGTTGGTGTGGCTGATTTAGGTAATTTTTAATATAATCAGGTGTTTCTTCAGAGTTATTAGGCGTGAAGACGTCAAATAAGTGTTTTGCAAACACTGTTGCTTTTTCCAAGTTACTTTTTGTCCAGCTGTTATCAAATTTCCTAATTGGATAGCTTGTTTTAGGCTGGTTTTTGATATTTCTGGTTAACTTCCACAGGGAATAGTCTGTACTCATGGTTGTACCCAAATTTAACAGAATGTGGCTGTGGCAAGCACAAAACCGTAAGACCATTCCAGCGAATTCTTGCAATTTCCGCCAAAGGCATTTCAGCCAAACTGCGTAGGAAAATTAGCGATGACAATAGGAGTATTCAAGCAGACACACAGGATAAAAATATTTTGAAATTCAGTGAAAAACTTCCTAGAGAAGTTTGGGTGGTTGATATTTAAAGTCGTTTTAAGCCTTATTATCCACCGACATATTTTAGTGGTTGGTTACCTAAGAAAACCACGAAAAGTCAAACATAGTCATTTTGTCAAATATTTACCAAAATAGAAATTAGAAACCTTTGGAAAATATTTTTAAAATGGAAATTACAAATCTTTTGAAAAATTATTTTGATTGCTTCTTAGGATTTGAAGATTAGCTCTACTTAA